AGTTACTTTTTTGAAATCAGGGCCCATATTTTAATCCTTTTTTCTTCCTCCTCCTTAACTTCCTCTACTATTTAAATTTCTCTGTGTTTTCTAATAAAGTTGCTAAGTTAGAACCGATGGCAATAGAACACACAATCACTCTACATATTTCTAAATCGTGAGCAATGGAGTCTTCTGGTGGAAGAGGGATTGCTATTTGAGTGACCTATTGCACAGACCTAGTGAAATCACTGAACAATAGTTACTGTTTGGGGGCTTTACTTTGTATAAAGTAACCATGGAACTTACAATGTGGTGGGGGGCAAGAGAGTGAGAGAGAGAGAGAGAGAGAGAGAGAGAGAGAGAGAGAGATCTTACCCATACTTTTTTTCCTAAAATATTTTTAAGTACCCCTAATAAGAATCAATATAGCCCTAATCTAAGTTCACATACAACTACAGACTAAAAGCCAACCAGAAAGTAACAATAAAAACACACCTGATAAACAACTTTTTAATTCAAAAGGTACTAAGTAATAAGGGGGTTAGAAGGAACATCCCAATTAGCCAATGTAGTGACAAGCAGCCAGTGCCTTATTATTTAATCATTAAGGAGAATGTTGCCATAATTTCCCTTTGACATATTTTTAAAAATAAATTAAGAGTATATCACACCACCCACAATAACAATCAAAAGTAAAGTTAAGTGATCCTAAGACCCTACGGCTTGTAGGGCCTGTGGCCTGAAAGTTTCCAAGATTGAGACATTAAGTGAGACCCTATAAAGTATTTACAATTTAAGTGCGCATTTAGAAATAAACTACTCTACAAAGGGGCCTCCCACCACCCCACCCCACCCCCGTTGTGTCTTTTTATTGGATGAAAATAAATTGTTTGCATTTCTACTATTAGTAAATCCTCCTGGCAGGTCTACTTTTTTCTAAAACTTCAGATCCAGCTCATCAAGGACATTAGGTTGTTCCTCATGCCTTACCATCACACCTCTCAAAAGAGAAAATTGAAACAGACCTTGGATGCATCCCTATCCCACTTTGGAGGGAGGGGGCATTTTCAGTCAAGCCCTAGTTCAATTTTAAGAATTTTAACTCAAACTATGCTTTTAGAAACATTTTAAAATGTTTAAATAAAGCCTTGCCCACCAGAGTTTCCTGGCCCACCTGCGTACCAAAAGCTCACTGGCCCTTGGCTTCCTAGATCCTCAGGCCTGGAGACAGGCGCTTTCCAGCGCCCTCCTCACAGCCCAGGCCGCAGCCCACCTCCCCTCCCCTGGGAGCTCACCAGCACTTGGCATTTAACCTGCTTGAAGAGCACAGCATTCTGGTTCCATCTCTGAAAACCATATTACTTCTCTCCAGATGTCAGACACAAATCTGGATTAACATGCAACGGGGAACCCAGGAGATGTTAAATGCAGGTTCTGAGGACCTCCGGGAGAGTGCTGTTGAATAAAAAAATGGTAATCCAAAGGGATGGCTTCTTTGCCTCCCACTGCTAGTGGGGGATCTCCGGCTGGCCCCCAGGCCCCCAAGCTTAGACCCAAATAGTCCCTGCTCTATATAAGCTGGGTAGCCACTTTCTGGGAGAGATGACCTTAGGGGCCTGGAGATTGCTAGCTACTCTCCCCATTCTTTCCACTGGTTCTGGGAATGGGAAATACTTAGATTCAAAAAGTGATGAGCAACAGACAACCCTGGGAAGGCGGATCTCAGTCGAAGGCCCCTTCCTGGAGGACAGCCTAAATTAATCTAGCGTTTGGGGGACCAGACACTTCCCAAAGCTTCTTGGTGCCTCCATTTTCACCCTGAAGGCACCCCTGCCCCCAACATTTCCCCACTTCCCGGCTGCCCCAGGTCTTCATCCTCCGCTGCCACCAACCAAGTTCAACCCTTACCTCAATGCTTAGCACTGGGGTCCAACTCTGCAAGCCTGGCCCATGCCGGTAACCCCCTGGGGTCTCCCAATGCCCCTCATTCTGGGGCTGGCAGAGCTTCACACTCAGCCAGGAGTGCAGCCATCGGGAGAGGGCGCCCGGGAGGCCAGCTCTGGCCAGAAGTGGATCTGGGCCTGGGAGCTCCGGGCAGCCTCCTGGGCTGGGAGTGGGGGATGGGGGGGGGGACTTGTGGGAGGTAAGAGAAGATAGGGGAAGAACTGGATTATGGCTTCTACTGGCATCTTAATCTGATTAAAAACAACAACAACAACACTACAAGGCCAAGTGGATTTCCTCCGACTTAACCCTCCGGGAAACCGGCTGGTATAAAAGTCGTCGATCTCAGGTCCCTGAGCTGGTGGCAGTTTTCACGCCCTCCAAGATAAAAGTAAAATAAAATAAACCCTGCCTGTAGCAGGCCCCAGAGACAGAGAGGTTAATGAGCTAACGCGGTCCAGTGCTCGCACCACACCTGAAGCACGCAGTGCCGAAGCGCAGCCTCTGCCCGAGTTCAAACTCACTCACTGGGTCGAAATCGCAGACAGGTGGCCAGGCGATCCTTTCATGGCCCGGTCCCTAGGGTGCCACACTAGCGGTTGGCGCCTCTGGGGGACGGCACAGACTCCAGTTCCGGAGAACTAGCGCCCATGGGGCGGCCCTAGTGCCCTGTCCCTCGTTCCCCACCTTCCAGGACAGGAAAGTCCACTCCGGGTCCAACGCACAGTCCCGCCCCGCGTGCGCCCCGCGCTCTGTGCGCTCCCCCTTCCAAAGGGAATACAAGCACACTAGCTCCTGGGAAGCGGACAATTACAAAGAACAAACTTGATTTTACTGCTGCCCCCGAAGGAGACCGATGTGCGTCCTAGGGGTCACGCAAGCGCGCCCACGCGCACAGGCCACAGCGCCACGAGCTCAGCCTGAGATGCGAAGGCTGCCTATAAGCGGCGGCGGAGAGAGGTAGGTAAACTTCTCAATTTAGGGATGGAAGTAACAAAAAAAAAGTACGAATTTTTACCCAGTACGACAGCCTACCAAACTACGTGCCTCAAATTAAAGGAACTGAATAACACAAGTTTACCTAAGAAGTAGGGGGAAACTCAGAGATATTTTATCGATTTTGTATTCTCCCCCCAGAAAAAGAAAACATAACTTTTGTTCTTTGACTTTAATAAAATAATGATTCCTTGAGAAAATGGGGTATAAATCTTCATTTTGGAGGCAATTAAAGTGTTGATTTCATTCATGCCCTTAAGCGATTCTTGTAATTTGCTCAAATAGCTTTATGTACCCAGCACTCCGGAGCTTTTAGAATCCCATTTTCTAGTTAGGCTTGTTGGATTGCAATTTTTATTCAACAGCAGCTACCGAGGGCTCCTCAGTGGAATCTGCATTTAACAGCTCCGGGGCTAGGACTGTCGGGCTGAACCGTGCGGGAGGCCGGTAGCAAGCCGGGCCCGGGCCCGGGCCCAGTCCCGAAGCCTCCTGCAGGTTCTTCCCACCTCGCAGGGGCCGCGCCGGGATTGCACTGGCTGGCTGTTCTGTGCACTGGTCTACATCGCGGAAAGTTTGCAACTTGTCAGACAATAGTAAGGACCCAGCGCGCTGGTGCTTTTAAAGCTCAGCTCTGCCTGCCCTCCACTTCTCGTGGGTAAAGAGGGAATTCAGCGAGCAAGGAGGAATTCAGCCTCTGGATCGGGATTACCCAGAGAAAGCCATGCTGGGAATTTATTCTAAGGAGGTGAGAGAAGAAAACTTTAAGATGACACCAATCCTGAAGTGTCAGGCACTCAGGCAAGGACTCTGCAAGATAACTGCTGGCCAACAGTGTCATGGCAGAGCGTGCAAAGGAAAACCCCCGCATGGCTGGCTGGCGCTTGGCTTAACAAAAGCAGGCTGATCTCTCCCGGGCAAGACAGGACTCACATGCCAAGTGCCAAAAAGAAACAACTGGCGGGTCTTCCCTAATACATGGAGAGGCTAGGAGGCCTGCAACCCAAATCTCCAGAGCTTTGCAACAATTCGCAACAAAGAATTGTCCTGAGTGGGGCTTCACCTCACCCATTCCTCACGTTTTCACTTTCACTGCCTTTTGCAACTCTTTGGACCAATCCAGAGACACAGCAAGAGACACACACAGGGAGTGAACCATGGTGTTGGGATGAGAGGAGAGAATTTCCCCAGCAGCTCCCAATAAAAGTCCTCCCCACTTAGCAACCTAGCGGAAGAAGGGCCTGGAAGTGGGGGTGGTTGAGGAGGAGGGGGGAAAGTCGGCAAGGACCAGCAGTTGAGAAGGAAGACAACGGGAGGTCCCAACCCACCACACTGAGGGAGTCTAGGAGTGCCCCATATGCGAGCACTCTCCAAAGCTGCCAACCCAGAAGGCCCAGAGCACATACCAGCTGAAGATGCGTGGAAAGGAGGAGAAAACTCTGTATTTATATGTTTTTATAATCTCAGCCTGGTCTTATTTTTTCTATTAAGTACAATAAAATGGGCGAGCTTGCAGTGAGCACTGCACAAAGCAATGTTCAGTGAGGTCTAGAAGCGTTGGGCCGAGGAAAACTGACAAGACAGGCTAATGAACCGTATAGACAGCGAGAAAATAGCCAGCATTTGCTAGATTTCAAACCCTGGCTGTCTCTCTTAGACCACCTATCTTGGGTTTATTCCTAATAAAATAAGAAATAAGCAGACCCTATACTTTTCTTTTCTTCAAGATAGAAGGGGGGGAAATGCTCCAGAACAAAGCCCTACAGTCAGAGGCGGTCACTGGCAGTTAACACTCCCATTATTATAGAGGGTAAATAAAATAAAGACAAAAATTAAAAGCGACAAGAAACAGGTCAAGTTTGCAGGCAAAGCTTTTACAAGCTCATCTCTCCAGGTCGAATCCCAGAGCCAGCCTTAATGAAGCAATAATAGCCACATTATTCAAAAATTTTCATTTCGATGGAAATGTATCTAAAAGGGACTTAATCATATGCAAATAATAAAAGAAGGTGGTAGTGACCCAGCAAGCAATATGCATACAGATTTTTTTCCCAGGGATGTTGAAATTGAAAAGCTCGTACCTGGTCAGTTAGATTTGCTGATCTTGTTATATCTTCACTGTCTGATTTTGATCCTCCTTCTCTATCGTCTATCACCAAATCGATAGGCATTTTCCCTTTCAAACAGCTAATATACCGGTGGCAGAAATTGTCACATAATTCGTGTACCTACATCATGATAGAAATAAAAAAATGGAAATATAATCAGAAGTGCATAAATGACATTGACAAGTGCAATCCAACCCCCTTGTGAGATCCAAACTTCCAGATAGGGGAAACACAGGGCAATTGTCCTCCAGAGACCCCCAGACGCATCCAGAATTAGGAATAACTTTCTTTTCTTACAAAATAGAGATATCCCAGAAAATTGACAGTGACAAGATGATTCACAGGCTACAACATATTCAACACCGTGTTAAATTCATCTGCTCCCGGGGCTGTGACCATTAGAGAGGTGACCTGCGTGGGTGACATTTAAGGTAAACTATTTAATTTCATCCAGTTACTTTATGATAAGTCTCCCTCCAATATATCAAAGGAAAAAAATGTGAGTATATATATATATATATACACACACACACACACACATATGTTGTGTGCATATATATATGTGTGTGTGCATATATCTATAAATATCTATATTTATTTATTTTTCTCCAAAAGACCAGAAATGCAGCACTGAGGTAGCATAGGATATATGTCTAACAAGTTACTATAATACTTGTAATTAGGGTTTCTATCTATAAGAAGATTTTTAGGGTATATCTTTTAAAAAAATAGGAGAAAGTCAAATTGCTTGTACTCGTCATGTAAAAAAAGTCCTGCACCCACAAAAAAAGTATTAAAATGGATTTTTATAAAGAGGAAAACAATGCTTCAAAATGTTAAGGTGTAAGTGGAGTGGTCTCACAGGCCTCAGACATCACTGACATGCAAAAATTCACAAGAAATCCCAGTGTGCTTGCATTTTAATGTTAGTTTAAATTACAATGCATTAAGTTTTTATTGCTGAGATTTATAGAACAGCTAGCAAAATCATGTTATTCCACACTCCTTCTTGAGTGTGAAGGTGGGGTGTGCGCAGGATTCACAGATTCAAGAAATTGACACAACTATCAACTCTGCTTTGTCTCGCAAAATGTTTAATGTGCCTCCCCCACCATCTCCTCCAGACTCCCTGGCCGTTCCTCATCCTCCCCCCTCAGCCTCTCCTGTGTCTGACCTGCCAGGGCTGTTCTCTTACTGTCTTTCAGAAACTCACTAAAACTAAACAAAACTCCCCTCCGTCCCCTCAAAGGTAACAAAGAAGAGAAGGAAGTAAAAAAAAAAGAGACCACAGAAGTATAACCTGTGAAGCAAACTCACAAGATCATTCTAAACATCACGGGAGATGCATAGAATTGCAACTATTTATAAAAGCCAGCAAGGTATTAAGAATAAATACAAAGATGGGGCGTTTCTGATCCTGGTTTTAGTGGCTGAAATTGTAATTAAACTGCAAAGAGAAATGGATGCTAAGATTGGCCTTGACACTAATTACCAGAAAGAAAGACATTTAAGACATTTATGCAAATGTCTCAGAAGCCTGAACTTCAGTTGTTCTGAGTCCTCCCCCCAGCCTATGTTTGGGAATGAGGGGGAAGCAAAAGGAAAAGAGGCTGGAGAAATTACCTTCTCTAATTCCAACAGATGAAACCTTAATACTTGTATGGCTTGAATCATCTGCAAAGATACAAAAAGAATGAGCACCCCATTCCTAGTCTGCAGGAAATTGGCTGTCACAGCTCTCGCATCTCCAGCCCACCCCTCTCCCCCCCGTAAATAGAGTTATTTTGATTTATGGCAATAACACTAAAACTTAATAGCAGCGACTGGGTACCATCTAGAGGTTTATATTTCTTAAGGAGAAAAAAATAGCTAAAACAACAACAGAGCATCTAAGTGGGGACCATAAACACTCTCCTCCCCCATGGCTCACCCCTTTCTCAGTCCCACTGCCCCCACCCAAGCCCCAAAGGACCACATCCCTGAACAAGATGTTTCCTTAGAAGGCGTGCAGGGAAAACATTCCAGATAGTCCCCAGATTGTGGCTTTTCACGTAACAAACTTTCTGCTGCCTTCCGCACACCTTTCAGGCAAACTGGTTGTTCGAGGGCTCTTGCCCGGTCGCTGCCCTCCTGACGTGATTCTGAGGGCTGGGAAGTCCGCAAAGTTTAAGCACACACGCTGACAGGCAGGAGATAAATCCCCTCGCAGATTAGAGCTGCGCTGCCCGGCTGTCATAAAAAACAAAAGCTCGCATTTCCCCGCGCCCGCTCGCCCGGCCCCTCTCGAGATGAATTTATTTCCCCGGGATCTTGTCCCGGACCACTTGTCCGTGGACAGAAATATTTGCACCCGACTTGCAGCTACGGGAAGACTGGTCTAGAAACCTCAGGGTTCTCAAAGCAAAGCTGGGGGTTTGGGGGAGGGGGGAGTGGGGGGTAGGAAAGAAGGGGTCCGCTCTTACCAAGTTATCCAGTTCTGGATTAGAAGAAAATAGAGGTTTTTCTGCGCGAATCTAAATTCAAGTGAGAAGGAGAGGGGGGAAGGGGGAAAAGAAAGAAAAAATTGAAATCTGGTCGCCTCCTAGTTTCTTGCCTCATTACACTGTCCCGGGCAAGAGGGAACGTCCGGGAGGGACTTGACACCAAGTTCGGCCTGTGCAGAAACACTTCAATGTGCATCAAACAAGCCGAAAACGAGTCAAAGCTCAACGTTACTTCCACCAGCAACTGCCCTGCTCAGGTTGCGTCCCCGTTCACCAAGTAAAGGCTGCGACAGCCCTGGTGTTTGTGATTTTATGTCACATACTGAGCTTTCTGGGTCAGGTTATGGACATTGAGTTGGTAAGGATACGGGTGTTAAGTTGTCTGCAAACAGACACTAGTTTAGGAGGAAAAGCTCAGGGTAGATATAACAGGGTAGACTATTTGCTGGCTACTTTTGAAAATGCACTGGCCGGGGTGGGGGTAAAGGGTTCTTTTCTCATTTTCTTTTTAAACATTTATTTTGCTGACCTGTTTGGCGAACACGGCTATATCTTCATTGAATGACTCTGATGAGCAGACGTCCCCGCCCGCCACCCCGGGCTCGCGGGGGGTACAAGTAGCTAATTCACATTTCTCAAAAATCAGTGCTAAGAGAGGGAAGAGGGGGTGTCTGCAAGAAAATACAACAGTAACAAACAACACAATGGTTAGTCTGGAGTCAGTGAAAAAAAGTGTCTAAGTAAAACAGCCTGAGGAGCTCAAGGCAAGGACCCCTCCCGGATTTTGTCATCTACTCCCCCCCACCTCACCCCCAGGTAACTGCTCACCTTCCCTCCCTCCTAGGGTCCAGAAGCCGGAGGCCCTAAGCCATAGATGTATCTGAGGATCAGTTCAGCATATCGGGCTGAAGACATTGGTAACATTTGCTAAGAATAAAACCCAAGCGGTTCCAGCAGCCATTTTGAATTAAGTTTCCCACCCCGACAAGCCCTCGCTCCTTTGCTGCACATCCAGGACCTAGTGCAGGAGAAAGGTGCTGGGCATCTATCTGGGTTGGGGAAACTGGTTCAAGTGGGTTCCTCCAAAGCCACTTCACAAAGCCCAAAGCTAGGGAGATCTCGGTGGCAGGCACTGAGCTAACTTGGGAAGAGGACCTCTAAGGCTGCAGGATCAACTGTCAGGGTCTGCTCTGCCTGATCCAGACCCCACGGCCCTCAGAGAGCTGGAAGTCTCCTCTTCATCTCCCTACACACTTCCCCTCCTTCCCCGTTGGCCCCCACAACCCTGAAGAAAGTTCCTTCAAATGTTCCTGTGGTAAAGCCTTTCATTTTGTCTCTGTGGAATGGCAAAGCTGCTAGTATTTTGAGGGGCCTAGATGTCACTTATCTCAGCCCATAAAAAAAAAAAAAAAGCTTCTTCTAATGCCCAAGGAGGTGTCTTGAGTCTTTTATTAGCTCTCACAGTCCAGCTGGGAATTTAACAGTTTGGGGTTCTTTTCAAAGCTTCCCCAAATGTTCTGCCCCAGAGCCTAAACCATTTGCAGTTAATGCTGCAGAGAGAACACTGGGATTTAAACAAGCACCAGGGACCAGAAAATAAAGCAGAAAGGTCTCTCAGTCGGTGAGGGGTCAGTATTGCCTGATTTTTTTTTTCAAAAGAAGAAATAAACAGAAATAAAAGTTTCTCCAAAGTAAAAAGAGGTCCCCAAATTCACCAGCACACAGTAGGCACAAGTGACTTTCTAAGCATTTTACTAGTCCAGGGTATAATCTAATGGCCGGGAGAACACAATATAAACCGCAGTCAGAAAACATCGGCCGACAGCACCGGACACCTATTTCTGTCCAAATCCTGCAGGTTTTGCCTTTGAACCCAAGCACTAAAACAGCTAGAAGTTTCTTGGTCTCTGTAACAATTCGGAACGAGTTCCTCTCCTTGACTACAGTGGTCAAACTCCCTAAATGCAAAGCATGTTCCCCCTTGCCTGACCTGAAACTGTCCTCCCTTGATTTTATTGTGCGGTGGCAGAGCCAGCATACGGTTGCTGAGTAAACTTAGCAAGTCAGAACAATCAGTGGCTTAAAAGATTTTCCCTTGCACTAAAAGTTTCGTTCCAACACAAAGGCGCCTACATTTAAAAACCCCCAACGCTCTCCCAAGCAGGGTCCAGCGAGTGAGAACTCCCAGCCGCTGAGCTATCGAGCCGGGGTCTCAGAAGGGACGGGGGACCTTGGGCAACTTCTCCCGCACGGCCACCCCTTCTCCAGCACGGCCTCGGCTGAGCTGAGCGCTGGTTTGGCGCCGAGCCTGTGTGGAGATGGGGGGCGTCTGGGATAGCAGGCTGCCTCCCTCGAATTCTCCATGCAATGCGAAAGAAAAGTCACGAAATAATGTACCCCCAATCCAGACAGCTCTGGCTTTGCTGTCACCAAAGGCTAAAGGGAATAGGGGAAATATCGCCTCTCAACTGCTTAACCTGCTGCCCATCGTACCTACCCATAAATGGCATCTTTATCTCTCTTTAAAGCGTCATTGACGGAGGAGCCCATGCTGGGGGCCATGGCGTTGGTGTGAGCTGTGTGCGGGTACTGATGCGAATGAAGAGGAGGCCCGTGGTTCAGGTGGTGGACCGGCTGCATGGACCTGGCCGCATGCGGGTCCCCATACATCGTGGAGGGGATGCCTACTCCATCCATGCCCCCGTAATGGGGTAGATCGTCGTACTGCATGACAAATAGGAGAGAAACAAGGTTCAGGAGGCCAGGCGGGCAAACAGGGGAAAGGCAGGGCACAGAGCTTATATAATGTCAGTCCAGCTGGATCCTTCAATCCGGAATTAGGTGGCCTTGCATCTCTAAAGTTGAGACTTCTTATTTTATAAATATTTTTTTTTTAAGTAAAACTCCTAGGATTCTCGGTGAAACTCTGCTACAATGAGTGGTCTTGCTCTAAATGGTGTCCCTATTGACTACTTCAGAAATTTAGGATCCTTTGGCAAGGAAGGAAGGAAGAAAGAAGGAAAGAAAGAGGCACTCTCCCGGAGGGCGGAAGGTAAAACGTGCACGTCTCTAGAGGAGGAAACTCAAAATCACAATAATAAAACGTGCCAGGACAGTGTAGCAAACCCGCCTAGTTTCACAGCCCCTTCCCATCAGGGGGAATTAAAAAAAAAAAAAAGTTATGATGGGAACAGCTTCCCTAAGCATGTGAATTCAAACAGACTTCTCATTTTATTTCTCTGCCAGTGCGGGGTTAGGCAGTCCTGCAAGACCCTGCATTTCCTTTGCTTTCTAAGACGAGCTCCTCAAAAATACACAAAACTAACTCGTCTCCTTATAAGTGAAACTCAGAGAAGGGTAGCTTTTTCTTGTACATTACAGCTGAATTTAGAATTGGACGATTTTCCTCCCAAGTTACAGAAAAACTATAGCTGGATTAGTTGGTTATTCCATTTTTTCTACTCTTAGGAACTTTCTCCCCAGATTAGAAGTCAGAGAGGCAAATGTTACTCATCAAATTTAAAGCAAATTCAAAAGCAAAGGCACTTACAACTCCCATCTTCCTCCTCCAGAAAAACTACTTTCATATTGATTGTCATTATTTTTGTGTGCAAAATTTAGCTATTTAGATTTTTCTCAGGGCTTCATTACAGGCAAGTTCTTTTCCCAAGATTTGGAGGCGCTGAGAGTGAAATGATTTTCAAAGAAAAGAGGAACTGGCACTTTCATCTCCTTAAAGCCAGAGGTGTGAAAAGAGTTTGGAAGAACGCTGACATTTGCCTGCACCAAAGGAGTAGAGAAAAATGTGTCAGCCTAGTAACTTTCTTTTGCAAACAGGGCTTTGAGGGCCAGGACACAAATTATGCAAGGAAGGCTTTTTGTAGACCCCCTTTCTTTTAAGAAACTACCTCAGTTGGGTTGTCATTGTCTCACTTTACTCTCACTACATTTCCATTCAAATAGGAATATTGGGGAAATTAGTATTGCATTTTTAAAGCGAGTAGCTGTGTGCTCAGTATCCAATTAGTACAAGACTTTTCTAAGAACAACTTTCAAAGTATCACCTTGCATAAAAATCCATGCACATCAAAATTACTTTTAAAAGACGAATGTTTTTGATCCCCAAAAATGCTTGCACTATGACAGTTATTTGCTTAAAAAGCTAACTACTTGTAATATTAAAGATGAGCATAATTGATAACGTATCAGAAGTTTCTAGCTGCTTGTTTTAGTTTAAAAATAGCTTTAAACTTCAGATCCCTGAATGCTCAAATTATAACATTAGTTATTTAGCGGTTTTGTTTTGTTTTGTTTTGGTTTTTTTTTTTTGCTTTTGTTTTTCAAACAGATGATTGCCCCGACTTGTATTTTTCATTTATATAGTTGCTGGTTAGGAATCTATAGAAAAACTTGATTGCTGGAATTAAAAATTACATGTAACATAGATTAATCTATAAATGCATTGAACAAATCCTCTCGCTTTAGGCCACAGCTTTAGGAGCTTCATTCCAAAAGACAGAGAGAAAAAAGGAAACTTTTTAACAGTGTCTTTCAGCCACGTTTCAATTTAATCTCACATTTGAGTTCCACATTGTTTTTTAATACGTACCCTTTGCGCCATCGGCCTCCCTGGCTCCCTTCCTACTTCAACTTCTAATATATCCTCTTTAAGGCCAGTGTGAAAAGAAACAAACACGCAAACTCCCTCGGAAAAAAAAAAATTTAAAGCACGACGAAAAATCCCTTAACGTCTCCAGCAACGTGAGCTACTGGTCCCAGATCTTCGGTCTACGGGACCTGAAGCAAAGCTCCCGAGTCACCGAGCATAAAAGCGCTCCGTTTCCAAGACAGCAGCGGGGGCAAAAAAAAGCAGGTCTTCTCTCCCCAAAAAATCAGTTTAAAAAAAAAAAAAGAGCGCCCCTCAGACCCAACTACCAAATCTCATGGCTTTCTGCCACTCCGGCTGTCAATCACAGGCGAGGTTGTCAACGTGGTGAATGAATGATCATCCGCTCTGTCTTCTTCTGGTCAGAACACCTCAAATGTTAATATTCAAATGCACAAAGCCCTAGCGCTTGCTTCCCTTGAATCAGTCCTAATTCCTAATCAGTTTCTCTCTTCTCTTGCTCGCTCTCTCTTTCTCTTTCTCTCTCTCTCTCCCTCTTTGCAACTGCTGCACTGGAGGGAGATTAGAGGAGGAGGGTTAAAAAAAATGTCTGTCTGAGTTTGTCTTAAAGGAGCCACGATCGATGCTGCCCGCTTGCAGTCCCCGTGCGTGTGTAAAGTGTGTGTTGCACAGGCGGAGAGGTGGATTCCGACCAGAATGCTAGAACCCGGAAGTAGTGGTGGCCATAACAGGTCGCGTCTTACACAATGCATTGGGCTGCAGCAAGTCGGCTCCTCGGCAGGGGTGGGTGCGCGAAGCGAGCTCTGGCCGCGCTGGAGAGGCAGAGAGGCGCTCCATTAAATCGCACGCCCAGGCACAAACATCCACACATCCAGGGCACACGCGCGCCTACGCGGGCAGCAGCCCCCAGCCCAGGGCTTTATTTTCCGTATTCTCCTCGCACCCTCCCCTCTCCAGCTCCCTCCCCAAACCCAATTCTCTTGAAATAAATTGGGAATAAATGCGGGACAAACAGCAGCAGGAGTATTTTGCACAGGGCTCTGCGCACAGACTTCGTGACTTTTCCTCGACATTATTGGGGTCTGCCAGTATTTTTCGGGGAGGGGGTGATGCGGAAAGTATCGGATGCTCAGAACTAAACACCCCCAAGTAGAAAAGTCCAGCGGAGAGCAAGGAGAAACAGGAGCAAGGCTGGGAGAGGCTCTGCTAAGTCCCGAGAACGAGGAGTGGAGATGGCTGGGGCATTCTGCACAACAGGCTTAGAGTTTTTGTTTTTGTTTTGCTGTCAGAGATGGACACCCTGCCCAAGGAAAGGAAATGCTTGCATTTTCTCACTTTGGGGGTCTGGATGCCCCCACTTCCTAACCCCGGAGGCCCCCAACCCCAGCTCGAGCGTCCTGCGCTAAGTGGGAAAGGAAGGGAGGAAACAATGAGCTGAGAGCCGAGAATGTGCCCCCAGTGCCTGTTTACAAACACGAAGCTATTTATGATCGCCGGAAAGCGAAACCCGACGCGGGCTTGGAGCAGCCCAGACCTCACGGGCGGAGCCGAGGCTGTGGAGCCTCGGGAGGGAGGCTCTTTCTCCGGCTCGCTCCGGGCGAGGCGGCCGTGCGCCCAGGGCGCGGCGCGGCCGAGAAGGCGTGCTCCGCTCCTCTACGGCCGCGCCGCCTTTGTCTTCGAGGCGCCGAGGGGCTCCGACCTCAGCGGCGCTGGGGCCTGAAAGGATCCTGCCCGCACCCCCGGCTCTTTCCCGGGCGACGCCCCGCGCTCTCCTCCCTGCCTCCCCCCCAACCCCCCCGTTCCGCTTTCCGGTCCCCGACTCGGCTCAGCGAAAATCCAGTGCCAAAAAGAAATTCACGTCGGCAGCTGAGATTTCAGACAAAAAGCTGCCTCTCCCCACAACTCGGAGTCTCCAACCAGCCACTAATTTCAACTTTTCCCCTTTAAATACCTATTCTGTGATTTAAACAAAAAATTATTTTTCTTTATTCTCCCACTCTAAACTTGCTCTTCATTATTATATTTAATGGTGGTGTTTTTCTTTTTTAATATTCTGCCCGTCCAGCTCTGACCAGCCGAGCTGGCTCAGCAGCAAGCAGCTCCACAAGCGGGTTGGAAACCTCACATCTCCGAGCAGGGCTCGCAGTTCGCTCGGCTCGGAACAGGATTTTTTTTCTCCCTCCAGCTGAAACCTCGCAGAAAACTCCCCCTGCGGTCGGCTGGAAAATGAGCTCACCCAAATCTCGGTAGGCAGCCGGGGAGGAGGGCTCCGCCAATCAGAAGGTACTCGCGCCACGGCGGCCGCGCATTGGCTGCGGGGAAAATCAATTATCAAATAATCGATCAGCAGGGAGCTTCGATCTGCCGGGAACGCAAACTGCCAGTCCCGATTCCCGCCCCAAAGGTGGCCAAAAGGCTCTCACTTCCCCAAAGCAGCTGGCCCTAGGCTCCCTTCCCTCCCATCCCGCCAGATTCGGACCGAATCCCCATCCCGAATGGGAGAGAGAGATAATTTGAAAAAGGTTCGGGGACTCTTCCCCACGGAGACTGGGAAAGAGGTTAAGAGCTCCAAACTGTACGCAAGCAAACCGAGTCTTAATGCGCAAACTAAAAGAGAATTTGCGTCAGTCCGGGGGCTATGATTCCAGTTGCTGTTAAGTGGGCTTTCGAGGAGCAGGGGACGCAGGGAGAGGACCAGAGCTTGGATCTGCAGTTCGTCTCTACTGCGCGCCAGCAGCCTCCCTAAGCGGCAGCGAACGCTCCTTCTAGTACTGAGCTCGAGTCAACGCCCAGTTCCCCCCAATAGTGTATTTTCCACAGTCGAGCAACTGAGCCAGCCCATCCTCCCACACGCCACCTCCGCCTCAACACTGTAAGCGCCCCGTGTGTGTCTAAAGGACTGACACACCCAGAGCCTTCAGATGCGCTTTGCCTTGCAACAACGCTGTTCTAAAAAAAAAAAAAAAAATTCCTAGAATCTAATTATTTGTCGCCTCTGTTCTCCTTCCCTTCGCTTAAGTTTTAGAACCTTTTACTTTTCCCCATCGCAAACATAAGTAGAGTTTTCTGGCACCAACGCCTGGGTAGATCACACGGGACGTCCAGGCAGGCCCGCGTGTCAAAGCCGAGGCGATCCAGGTGAATTACCAGGGCTTTCATGCTGCCCGAACACCACCCCCCCACCCCAAAGTGAACTTGGAAAATAGAATTTCAGGCCAAGATGGAACCTCCCCGGCTCAGGAAGGCAACTTCTCTGTTTAATTCTCGGGAAGCTGCGCTGGCTGGTCCAGGCAACGCGATCCTTTTCCTCTTACCGAGAGGACCACACTGGGCCCTCAGCCTGCAATTTCTCCCCCAAACCCCAGCCTGCTGCCGCTAACACCTGAGCGCTTTCCGACGGCTGCTCACCCGGTTTGAGCACCATTTCCCCAGGCCTGCCAGGCTGCTTCGCGGCTGGCGGTAGGAAAGAGGAGGGGGTGGAATCAAACCAAAATCGACGTGGGCACATCTACGTTTATGATCTCTAAATGAACTGCGAGAGAAAGTGTGTAAGTATAATTTTACTGAGAGAAATTTACATTTTGATAACTCTAGTCTTGAACAGCCTACGAGGTATCCCGCAAAGACTTAGGTAGCCAGTTTGAAGTTACCTCAACTCTTCGGCCACGTTCAACAGATTTGGAAAGGAGGTTTTGATATGTATTTTTGATATGTATTTTTGGCAGAATTTATTTTGCATTGTTGCTTTCCGGTTATTTTTTCTTTTGTTTTCTAGGAGAGATGAAAAATGAAGGTTAAGGTAAGTCTCTCCTTTTCAAATATAACCCCAAACTTCAAAGAGTAGAAAGACTATTGTAAAGCTTTAACCATAATGTGTCAGGTTACCTTATACATGTACTTTAAATGACTGACATGCAGGTTTTCCTTAAAGAAAGAAAATAGGAAGATAGTTTGAGTTTGTGGGCTTCATATAAACTCATTAGTTTTGAAAAGTGTCTTTCTTCTCTCCTTCCCCCTTCCATTTATAACTGGGAACCTAATGCTACTCCTAGGCCTTTATAAGATTAATTCTGAACAATCAAGGGACTAAAATACTTTTACAATGTAATTACAGTAGTACAAATTGTTTGCCCAAACCTCATTCTGGATAAGGATTTTACAATTAGCAAACAGTTATTACAGTTGGGGCTTGCTGAGAGAAATTGCACAGAGGATGTCTGGAGTTGCAATATAGTAGCCATAAAAAAAAAAAAAACAACTTTTAGCTGGGTAGCAATTAATCATTTATTAAAAGGAAAAGGTAAAGGAGAGCTCTCTGTATCTTAGCAAAATGCTACCTATCATTTATACCTGTTCTGTGACAGTATTTATCCTTATTTCGGATACTCACTTTTTAATGCAATATGATTTTTATTTTGCAAAACTTGGTCTAGCGAAGGGTTCTGACACTGGTCCAAGCTCCTGTGACATGAGCCTACCATACTCAGCAGGATACACACTTTCTATCCCAGAGGATCTTCCCAGAGATAGAGAACCCCCCAGGACTTTAAAAAGGCAGGTTGGGGCCTAGGTCTCTATTATTTAGATCCTACTCAAGGAGGCATTTTAAGAAAGCCTGCTCTGTTAGGCTGTTACAGTCCTCTTTGAGAATTCCTCTCTAATTTTCTGTTCTTCTATAAGGAATGGTACCTTTGGAAAGACTTGTAACCTGAATTGGGCTTTTGTCCCAAAAGTTCATGCTGATGAGTCAGTCCGAAAACTCTCAGAAATTAAAGACACCTCTTAAGGTAAAAATGTGTGTGTATTTGCCCACCCAGAATAAACAAAAGCCTGTTAATCAATCGAGTTTGGCAGCTGTGCTCACAGAATGATAAGGGTTTATCATCTGCCACCTAACTTTAAGATGCCTGTTAAAATGTTGTGATTGCTCTTGAGGTCGCCCTGTGGTGTGGAGGCTGTGGGCTTGCACTTTAAGAACGTTCATCCTCCACATCTCACCCCTACATTAGCATTTGCATTTCAAAAAGCAGAAATAAGAGGAGGGAAGGACAGTCTAAAGAAAATAGATTTAAAATCTAATAGAGATAATGGAGGAATGCTGGAGATAAGAGACTGGATGTGATATGAGAAAGGTACCAAGAAGTCAAAGCTAATGAATGGCTGTGAGAAAAGTGAAATAAACTATTTAGAAGTCTATTAAAGAGAGAAACCTGGCTAGGTGATATGAAAGGGGGTTAACCCTGGGGTTTAGGGAAGATGTTAATCAAATGTCCCAAAGCAATCCGGGCTATAAGAACTGGGAGATTTGTTTACTGCATTTTGCTTCAGAAAACAAAGAATGTCTGAGTCCAGTTCAGAAGTCAATGAAAGGTCAGCTTAGGCTCCCCAATCTTTCCAGGGAAATGTCTAAGTCACTATACTCTAACTGAATAATACAAAAGTTAAGAAAAAGAATTTTGGGAGGGAGGTGTTTTCCTTAGTACCTTTGTATTTCAAATCATTAAAATGCTTTGGTCTCTAGAGGGAAAAATTACACTGGTTAACATAATTACTAGCTCTGACATTTTCAGAAGTTATAGAGGTCTTTTATTAATTAAATGGAGGGCTTAATAAAATATTCCTAATAAAATTTATGGTTGTCTTAAAACTTTCTAAACAGTGCTGTAAATTCTTAATAAAATTAACTGGGAAATGAGTTATTAGCCCACACTTTACCCTACTCCCCCCTTCTACATAAGGAGTGTCTGCAGAATGAAAAGGGAAATAGAAGCCTTTTAGTAAAATATAAATATTAGCCCAACTCACACATTACTTTAGAAAAGGCAAAGTTTCAACTCAGTTATTTTTAATGTTTCATCCTCCAATATCTCCCAAGTGCTTCTCACCAAACTCTTGAAAAATTTATTTTCC